AGGTGGCGGGGCCGCAGGTAGGTGGCGGGGCCAGCACAGGTAGGTGGCGGGGCCGCGGGTAGGTGGCGGGGCCGCTGGTAGGTGGCGGGGCCGCAGGTAGGTGGCGGGGCCGCTAGGAGGTGGCGGGGCCGCAGGTAGGTGACGGGGCCGCAGGTAGGTGGCGGGGCCGCTAGTAGGTGGCGGGGCCGCAGGTAGGTGGCGGGGCCGCTAGTAGGTGGCGGGGCCGCAGGTAGGTGGCGGGGCTGCACAGGTAGGTGGTGGGGCCGCACAGGTAGGTGGCGGGGCCGCGGAAGGCGGCGACGAGCCGTAGGGGGCCGTGAGGGGCCGCGCGAGGGGCCGTAAGGGGCGTAAGGGGCCGCGCAAGGGGCCGTAAGGGACGGCGCGAGGGGCCGTAAGGGGCGGCACGAGGGGCCGTAAGGGCGGCGCGACGGGCGCGTGAGGGGGGCGCTAAGGGCGACGCGACGGGGCCGTGAGGGGCCTAGCGAGGGCGCGACGGTAGGGGGGGAGCACCCAGGGCGTGACTCGGGCCTGAGCGAAGCGCGCTCCGGGCAGGAAAAAAATTTCGTGGTGGTGGGCCCTAGGAATCGTTCCCACTAGGGAACCTGCTCGATACCATGAGAAGAAACGAGGAATGAGAATGACTAAGGGAAAGTTGGGTACAAAATGCAAACCCTAGAAAACTGTACCCCATCTGTGCTACCCCACTATAGCCTACAGTAGCTCTATCATATAAATCTGACAGGAGCGACTCACCAGCAAGGTGGAGCTCCAGCACGCAACCAGAAACTGTCACCGCCGGCCGTCTCCAGTACCTCTTAAGCTCCGGCGCGTATTCCTGGTAACACAAACGACAAAGGCAAGAGCAAGGTGTTAACTTGCAAGGTGCGTCGGGGACCGCCTCGCCCAAACCGACACTATCGTTTCTTCCGCAGCTGGGAGGATATGTTCGCAGACCCAACTCAGGAGCGGCCCGAAGGTTCGGTTGAAGACGAAGAAGAGAATGATCCGACCTACGATGAGGTGACAGTCGGACGGATGCAGTTCGACTGGGAAGTGCCGTAGTGGATCCAGGAGTCACCACCTGCACGCATCGCATACGACGAGGAGGGGTGTTACTACGACTATGAAAACGAACATGACACGGAGCATCACATCACTTCGAAGCTCGCCAATCTCGCCAAGACAAGGAAAGAGGTTAACAAATGGTACCTGGACAGTTGCTGCGGCCAACGCATGGTGTCGTCGAGCATCTTCATTTTCAACAGTGAAGAGCTCTTCAACGAGGTTGAAATCACCGTCGCCAACAGCCAGACCATCCACGCCAGGAGCCGCGGACAGATCCAGCTGGAATCACACGACACCGGCTACTGCATCCACATCAGCGACGTCCTTGTCGTGCCCGAGCTTCAGTACAATCTCCTGTCCCTCGACCAGCTGATGAAGTGTGGTGTCGCTCTGCAAACAACAGAGAACGAGCTTTATTTAATATACGACGGAATCTTCATCGGAAAAGCGACAAGCGAAGGAGGAGTGTTCGAGCTTGACTTCGAAGCTCGCCAATCTCACCTTCATCGACGCCGGCACCCGCTTCGTCTGGGCAGTAAATATCAGCAACCGCTATCTCGCCTACCAGTGCTTCAAAGTCTGGCTCAGCATGGCGGAGAACCAGAGCGAAGGAGGGAAGCTGAAGGCATTCCAAACGGACGGAGCCCTGGAGTACCAGACGGAGGAGTTCAAAACCCTCTTTTGCAGAAGGGAATCAAGAGGATGATTACCCTTCCCTACGCTCACGAGCAGCAGGGTTTGGCTGAGCGAACCAACAGGAGCCTCGCAACAAAAATGCGAGCCCTCATGAAGCAGTCAGCTGTGCCAACCAAATATTGGCCCTTCGCGATGGCACATGCAGTTCGGCTACACAACATGCTTTCTTCGAAAGCACTGCCCAACAACACCTCACCTTTCAAGGAGTGGATTGGCAAACACCCCGACACACGCATGCTGCGGGTCTTCGGGTGCATGGTACAGTACCGCCCCCACACTGCTCGGACCAGAAAATTTGAAGACCGCGCTCGGTGGGGCATTCACCTTGGAATCGAATCCGAATACCATGCCTGGACAATTCTGGACTTCGCCACCCACCAGCTCACGCGTTCACGTGACTGCATCTTCTACGAAAGACTGACCCTGCTACTGTACCGACAGCACCGCACTGCACAAAACGCACCGGACAACATTTTTCAAGGACAGCACAGCTACGCCAATGACGAAGATGATGTTGACGTGGCAGGAGAACAGCCAGACGAGGCAACTGGGGACGAGGCACCCTTCATACCCGTTACGGAGGAATTCGGAACAGCAACATTATTCCCAACAGACACGGATCCACGCGAGCAGTACAGGCACAGCATGACTACGCAAGTGCTGAAATGCACTCACCCATGGAGGACGAAGCAGCTCGCGACACTTCTCGTGACACCGTTCGCGACATCCCCGGCGACGATGACGACGTGATTGAGGTTACCACCACAGCCAAATCCAACCTCACTGGCCTTCGCATTCTCGGTCTCGCCGTCGCCATTCGGGGTAACCAGCAGTTGGTCGAGCCCACCACCGTTCGCCAGGCCCTCAGCGGGCCCGATGCTGAGAAGTGGAGAGCAGCCATGGTCGCAGAAGTGCTGCACTCCAGCGGCGTGGCACCTGGAAGCTGGTACCACGACGACATGCAAAGGGGAGGAAGATTCTCACAAGGAAGTGGGTTTTCAGGATCAAAACTCTCGCGGACGGGACTGTTGACAAGTACAAAGCACGATGGGTCGTCCGCGGCTTCGAACAGACTCAGTTCGTGGACTACGACAAGACCTTCGCTCCCGTCGGCCGACGCACCTCTGTCCGCGTTCTCCTCTGCGTCGTAGCCGTAAAACAGCGTCCACTGCGGAAAATCGACACGTCGAACGCGTTTCTCTACGCGATCGTCGACGGCATCATCTACGTCGAGCAGCCGCACGCCTTCGAGGAAGACGGCGACGCTATCTGCCTACTCCAGAAGTCTCTGTACGGCATCAAGCAAGCGCCACGCCTGTGGCAGCAGTACCTCCACACCGTGCTCATCGAGCTCGGCTTCCAACAGCTTCCCCACGATCAGGGGATGTACCGCCCCGAATCCCGTGGCAGCTTCATCCTGCTCGTCGCCTACGTGGACGGCCTGATCTACACCGGGGACAACACGGAGCTGCTCGATCGCTTCGAACACGACATCAAGGAGAAGCTCGAGGTGACTATCGATCACAACGTCACCCAATTCCTCGGTCTCAACGTCACTCAGACCGCCGACACGATCCATCTCTCCGCCGCGAAATACGCCGAGACCTTCGCAAAGAAGTTCGGCATCGCCCCCGTCGGCATCACCACCCCATTCCGCATCCCTCCTCCCAAGCACGAGCCCGACACCACCCCACTATCTCCGGCTGACCACCGCCTCTACTCGCAGCAGCTCGGGTGTCTGCTATTTGTCGCCGTCACATGCCGCCCGGACCTCTCGTACGCCGCTAGCCAGCTCGCCCAGTACCTGCGACGATCTGAAGGGGAGAACATGGCGGACCTACGACGCACCCTACAATACTTTATCTCCGACGTCGGCCTCACCTACAAAGCAAACTTAACAACTACTCTACAGCTCACCGGTTACGTGGATGCCGATCACGCTGGGGACGCAGATAACAGAAGGTCCCGCACATGCTTCATTTTCAAGCTCGAGCCTGCAGAAACCATCTCCTGGAACTCACAGAAGCAGGAGCTCATCGCCCTTTCGTCAGCAGCAGCAGAATTCATCGCAGCAAGATCGCGAACAAACCTGGCTTCGTCAACCGCACGAAACACATCGCCCTGCGTTACTTCTTCGTCAATGACGAAATCGACAAAGGGAAGGTCCAGCTCACCTATTGCCCAAGTGGCGAAATGGCAGCAGATTTCCTGACGAAGAAGCTGCCACGTCAGAAGTTCCAGCACTGCGCTGACCTGTGCGGAGTCGTCCGAAAGAGCCACGTGGCACACCTCCAGGAATGAAGGGGAGAGTTGGAGTATGAAGGGAATTGAGTTTAGCATTTGCACCCGTCATTATCGAAGCAGCGCTAGCAGCAGTATCTGATCAGCCCGTATCAAGGGCAGGAAGGTCAACAGTCGCAAGAGACAACTGTCGCGACTGTTGACCATCTAGACCGACGATTGACTCACCATCGAGGAATGGCAACAGGCGTAACCATCTGTACGGTTACACGCAGCGACTCGGTAACAAGAAGAAGTGCAATAGTCGGAGTCACCGTAGAAATGCCTGTAAAGCAGTTAGAATAAGGGAATGTACCCCTCAGAGTACATGGCTAGCTAGGTCTATTGATTTTATATGTAATATATGTTTTAATATACCTTGTCATTTACATTCACTATGATCAGAGTTCCTACCACAAAGACTTCCGCTACCAAAACTCTCTAAGTCATTCCTATCCAATCTAAGATCCTTACTCTAACAATTTACTTTGAGGATTGCCCGAACCCCGACACCAGCACACCAGCACACCAGCGCACCCCAAATACTTACATGTTACCATTACCAGTATTCGCTGTTACATTTTGGCTCATGAATTATTTTACATACGGTATGATCTTTGCCAGGTGAGTGCAATTCTGGTTTTCTTGTTCCTTGTAGTCGTGACAGATCAACGTGTTCCTTTCCTAGAGACCAGTTTTCCGCTTCCTAGCGGGAATAATAAGAATGCGTATGCCGAGGCGGATTAGGTGCCGTCGAAATGCTCGATTGTGAATCTAGTCACGAGTCAGCACACCACGCCTCGCCGCACACAGGTCGCTCCCTGTTCTTCCAAGCATTCTTGAGGCGAACCTCGACTCTTCTCGGTTGTGCCGCGTGACAGCGCGACAGGCTCGCCTTCGAGCCCCCACACCGAGCGGTTAGTAAAAGCGGAATGCGCCGATCGGCTGGTTGCCACTCGATGGGGCCGAGCCCGTCCGTGGCTGCGTCGACGCGTGGCACTGCTCGTGACCGCCACGCGTCGGCGTTTCTCCTTCGAGGCGCCCACAGGTCCCGTAAGCCGCGAGTTAAGGCAGCGGTGGGCGGGGAACAGCGAGGGTGCGAGGGGGCGTAGTGAAGGCGCGGTGGGCGCCATGGTGCGAGGCGGGGCCGTGTGGCGCTGTGAAAGGAGCACGGCGGAGGAGCGTCGTGCCTTTCTATAGTAGCAGCCGTGCTCTCCGGGCGGTGCATCGCGTGAAAGACGCCACGCCGCTGTTCGCCTTGCGGACTCTTCAACCCCGCCTTCGCGTCAACTCCCCTGACATCCACCTGAACGTCGCTGAGTCGCCGGCACGCTGCCCCATCCACACGAGACCCTACAGCCATTTCTCTTTTCGCCAACCCTCTCATCGTCTCGCCTCCGCCTCTCTCGCGCGCCCACCCGCCGTATCTGTAATTGCGGCGATGGCTCATCATGCGCGCAAGGGGGTGTCCGCAGGTGCCGCTGCGCGGAGCAGCGCGCGCTGCCTCCGCCAGCTCCGTCCGCGGAGACCGCGGGTGGCAGCGCGGCAGGCGGTGCTGCGGCTGGCGCTGGCGGCAGCGGCGGTCGTGGTGGTGGGCGCGATATCGGTGGCGGTGGGCGGCAGTGGTGACGCCGCCGTGACGCGCGCAGGCGAGTCGCAAGGTCAGTGGTGGAGGGGCAGGGAGGGGAGAGAGGAGGGGGAGGTAGCGCCGGAGTAGGGAGAAAAGTGGGGAGGGGGTGGGGGGGGGAAGGAGAGAGGGAGTGAGGGAGAGATGGTGAGAGGTGTATGTGGGGCATGTGAGGTGAGTAGGGGACACGAGAGGTGGCGCAACGCCGCCAGTCTCGGGTGAAGGCACTAGGGATGGGGCGCGGGGCAGCATGGGGCACGGTGGCATGGGGGGGGAGTGCGCTGCTGCTGGGGAGCGTGGGGCGGCGGAGTGAGTGGGCCTGCAGGGGTCGTGCGCGCCGCTTGAGGCATCTCCCCATGGTGGTCGTTCAGGGCTGCCACTCCGTGCCCTCCCTCCCTTTCCCTCCCCCCCCCTGCGTCCCCACTCTCACCTCCTCCCTCTTCTCCCTGACCACTACCCTCTCCCCTTCCCTCCCTGCCTCCCCCAGCCACAACAGCAGCGTTACTCGACGCACTCAACCTCACGCGCTCGCCCATCACAGCGCTCTTTGTGTTTGGCGACTCCTTGGTGGACGTGGGCAACAACAACTACGGCACGTACCGCTTCCTGCGCGCCGACCTGCCGCCCTACGGCATGAGCTACATCGAAGGATCGGGGCGCTTCTCCGATGGCCGCCTGCAGATCGACTTTTTAGGTGCGTGGCGCTGCCGGTATGGTGCGTGCAGCCGCTTGTGAGGGGCAGTTGTGAGGCGCCTGGGGGCATGGTGTGGCGGGGGTGATTGAGTCGCCTGCAGATTGACTTCCGCGGTGCGTGCCGCTGCCATGGCGGTAGGGCTTGTGAGGGCGGCGGTGCGGGCGGGTTGCGCGATGGAGGAACGGAGGAGAGGGAAGGGGTGCAGGAAGGTTTGTGAGGATAGCAGAGTGGGCAGGTTGACGGAGGCATCTCACATGATCACCCGGTTGGGCTTCTGGCATTGCCCAGCCTGCCATTTTTACTTCGCCTCCCCTCCCTTCCTTCCATAAACTCCCCTCCCTCCCTTCCCCTCCTCCCCCCCCTCCGTCCCCCCCCTCCCCTCCCTCCCCTCCCTTCCCTCCCTCCTCTCCATCCTCTCCCCAACCCCCTCCCTCCCCTTCCCCCTCTCCCTCCCTTCCTCCCCTTCCTACCCTCCCCCCCTCCCCCCCCCTCCCCCCCCCCTCCCCCCCCTCCCCCCCCTCCCACCACTTCCTTCCGCCCATCCCTCGCTGCTCCCCATCTCCCTCAGCGCGCTATCTGGGGCTGCCCTCGCCGCCCCCAGTGCTACAGCCGGGGCGCAGCGCCACTCGCGGGCTCAACTTCGCCAGTGCGGGGCCGGGCGTGCTCCACTCCACCAACCCGGGCCAGGTGCGTGCTGGCAACGTGGGGCACGCGGGGCCCACCCTGGTGGATCGGGCCCAGCCTGGTGGGTCGGGGCTGGGCAGGTGGGTCGGGGCTGGGCTGGTGGGCCGGGGCTGGGGTGGTTAGCACGTGGTGGGAGAGTTGTGAGGTGGAGGAAGATAGGAGTCGGGCGGGGATGAGATGCCAGCAGTGCTGGGCTCTGTGCACCCACACAGCACGCCTCTATGGATGCCAAGGCAGAGTGGATGGGATGTGGCCTCTTGCTCCTTGCTTTCACCTCTGCCCACCACAGCACCTCTGCCCACCACAGCACCTCTGCCCACCACAGCCCTCCTTCAACCCCGTTGCTTCTCACTCATTCTGCTTCACGCTGCTTGCGTTTCTCCCCCTCCCCCTCTCACTGCTCCCTCCCTATTATTTCGTCTCTCGTCAGGCGTTCCCGCTGTCCTTCCAGCTGGGAAAGTTCCGGGAAGTGCACGCAGCGGTGGTGGGGCAGGGCAGTGGGAGCAACGAGTCTGCTGCCACGAATTCGAATGGTGGTGATGCTGGGAGCGTGGGGGGCGGCACCAGCAGCAGCAGCAGCGGGGAGAGCTTGCCAGACAAGAGCGTACGTGCACGGATGATCCGCGGCGCCTCGCACATCATACATTATGCGCTCTGCTCTGCACTCTGCTCTCTTCTATTCCAGCACCGCACTTGCCACGTTAATCATTCCTCCCAGACCTCCATCCCCCACTTCTGCCCTCCTTCGCCCCCCACATCCCTCCCTCCACCTCTCCCATCCCCTCTCCAATCAATCGCCACAGCTCTCTACGTGGTGCAGGTAGGGGCCACTACCTCTATCTGCTGTCGCACCTCAACATTCCTCCTATGCCACAATCCTGCACATCTCCGTCCCTCCCCTCCCCTCTCCCCAACCCCCTACAGGCGCTCACCGCAGCGCTGTACGTGGTGCAGATCGGGTCCAACGACTACCTCTATCTGCTGTCGCACCTCAACATTCCTCCTATGCCACAATCCTGCACATCTCCGTCCCTCCCCTCCCCTCTCCCCAACCCCCTACAGGCGCTCACCGCAGCGCTGTACGTGGTGCAGATCGGGTCCAACGACTACCTCTATCTGCTGTCGCAGCTCAACATGGGGCTCGTCCCCAACATCCCCACCTCCCTCCCCCCCCGCAACGCCACTCGCCCTCGTCTGTTCAGCAACGCCTCCTCTCTTCCGCCCATGCCCGACGCCTCCTCTCTTCCGCCCATGCCCGACGCCTCCTCTCTTCCGCCCATGCCCAACGCCTCCTCGCTGCCTCGCATGCTCAACACCACCGTTCTGCCACCGCTTCCCTTCAACTCCACAGCCCTATCATCCGCCGCCATAGCCTCTGTCTCCTCTGCCGCTTCGGCTGCCTCTGCTGCCTCTGCTGCCTCTGCCTCCTCTGCTGCCTCTGCTGCCTCTGCCTCCTCTGCTGCCTCTGCCTCCTCTGCTGCCTCTGCTGCCTCTGCCTCCTCTGCTGCCTCTGCTGCCTCTGCCTCCTCTGCTGCCTCTGCCTCCTCTGCTGCCTCTGCTGCCTCTGCTGACTCCATAAGGTCAAGAGCAGCCGCCCGCCTGCGCAGGGCCGGGACTCGTGGCGCGCTGCCATTGGAGGAGGCAGTGAGCCGCCCGCCACAGTCGGTGACGGACAGGCTGGCCTCCCTGGGGCGGTTCTCAGCAGCGCTGGGAGGCACCGTTGCTGCCTCCACCCAGGGCACCGTTGCTGCCTCCACCCAGGGCACCGTTGCTGCCTCCACCCAGGGCACCGTTGCTGCCTCCACCCAGGGCACCGTTGCTGCCTCCACCCAGGGCACCGTTGCTGCCTCCACCCAGGGCACCGTTGCTGCCTCCACCCAGGGCACCGTGGATGCCGTGCAGGTGAGGCACGGGGGAAGGGACGTGGAGAATACTGTGCATGGGAGGGTGTAGGGTGGGTATTGCGACACAGGTGAGCGGTGGGTAAGGCAAGTGGAGGGGTGGGGCAGCAGATGGGTGGTGAAAGTGGGTGACAGCACGCTGTGTTCCGGCCGTGCTGCTCTCCTTTCCACACAGGATGTGCGTGTGGTGCACAGGGGAGGGGACAGAGAGTGCACTTGGCTTTCCTCTTTCTCCTCTCCTACTCCACTCCCTTCCACGTCATCGTCACTTGCAACGCCCCCTCACGCTGCTGCCCCGTACCACCAACACTCCACCCCTACCTCTCCCCCCAGGCGCTGTACAGCATGGGGGCGCGGCGCTTCCTGGTGTACCTGCTGCCGCCCATCACATGCGCGCCCACACTCATGCAGGCGCTGGGCCAGCGCACGTGCTCCGCGTCGCCGCTCACTGCCGTGCCCCTCGCCCACAACGCGCTGCTCTCAGCGGGGCTGCAAGCGCTGCAGGCGCGCCTGCCAGGCATCGTCATTCTCACGGCGGACGTCGGGGGGTTTGTGACGCGCGCTGTGGAGCAGCCAGAGGCGCTGGGTGAGTGCATAGGAGGGGAAGGATTGGTGGGTGGGTGGTGGGTGGTGGGTGGATGGTGAAGGGATGGGGGGGGGGAGATGGGGATGGGATGGGGAGGGGATGGGTAGGGGATGGGGAGGGGATGAGTAGGGGATGGGGAGAGGATGGGTAGGGGACAGAGGTGATTCTTGCTGTTGATGTTGCTCTTACGTCCTTGTGACTTTGTGCTGCATAAACACCCCATCACTTGTGCCTTGCCTGGTTTTTGCCACTTGCACGTTCCTGCAACCCTCCAATTGCTGCCACTCGTTTCCTTCATCTTCTTGTCGCTCTGCCCTGCCACACACCCCCGACCTCATCCCCGCTCCTCCCACCTCTCCACTCCCTGCCCCCCAACCATGCCCTCATCCACCCCTGCCCTGCAGGCTTCACCAGCGGTCCGGAGGCGTGCTGCGGCGCCCCGGCACCGCTGAACGGGCTGGTGCAGTGCGGGCGCACGGCTCTGGTGAACGGCACCCCCACGCCGTACACGCTGTGCCGCCGCCCCTCCCAGCACGTCTTCTGGGACGCCTTCCACCCCTCCCAACGCCTCAACCACCTCCTCGCCGCCCGCGTGTGGCACGGCGCTGTGGGCGGATGGGGGGCTGATGAGGGGGATGCGGGGAATGAGGGGGGTGAAGGGGATGGTGCGGATGAAGGGTTGGGTGATGTGGGTGAGGATGATGGTGGCAGTGGAGTTTTTATGCGTCCTGTTGGGCTGAGAGCACTCGCAAGATATTTGGTGAGATAGAATGACTACCACAGAGCTAAGCTACTGCCAAGAACACGCTTGATAGAATATGGAGTGATTTCATTTTGTACAATGTTTTATCTAAAACACTATACAGTAGAATTTTGTAATTTTCATTTTGCCATTTGAGCGACACATGTGTCGTTTGTGCAACCCCCAGTGCTGACGTGTCATTGCCTCCTCAATCCTTCCAGTCCACACGATGCGAGATGTATGTCGCAGCAAAATCTGTTCCGCGTCGCGGTGAGACACATCAGCACAATCGAGCATCTCTGAATTTCACCCCTAAAATAGACGCAGGCAGACATTTGTGGCTCCCGTTCGCGCTTCGATCTGCGCCTCAAACTCTGTGTGAGTACAGAGTGTGTGTGCAGCCCCCAGCCCGCCCGATCCAACGCAGGACATTTTCGTTCGTCCCACTCCCATGTCTTGCTGGTTTCCATCCCTCCCTGCCTTCGAAACGATCTGAGGGCGTGTTCCTACACGCGCATAATTGAGATGATTAGGCTTTGATCTTAGCTAAGTACCGAGCTGATGATGGAAGGTCGGCAAAACCTTCGATCATAAATGTAGATGAATAGCAATCGGTAATTTAGGTTAATACAGTCCAGATATAATTCGCAAATAAAGTCGGTAATAGAAGATTCCTGGCCCGCATTGTGCTAACCACCATAATGTACTGGGCTACTGGGCTAGAATGTGGATCGCGCGGGTCAACATTACTAATCTTGATCAAAGGGCTTCTGAAACTTGAAAGAAAACACCGTTGCAACTTGGGACTTCTGCACCCAAACACGAAGTCCCTCCTTTAGAAAGTTTTGCGAGGGTTGGACGAAAGAGTAACAACCCTCGCTCACAACTTTTCGTCAACTTTTGTGATACCAACAGCCACAGCCCAGCGGTCAACCTTACTAAGGTTGAACAACTTGGGCTGCGGGCTTTAATGCGCCCTCGACGAGCGTATCACCATTTGCTTCCCCTTGGACCCCCACAGCTCACTCCACCTAGATTCTGTGGTGTTGCGTCATTCCTGTGGTTGGCTGGATGCCCTATCTGAACCGAAGCCCATTTGAACTGTACGATCAACCGACGTCGCAGGGGAAGCTCCGCTGCTTGGAGCCCGCAGCGCCGCATGCACCATACATTGCGCTGCTTGTGCTTGTCGTTCGACTTTCCCAGCTTGCTCTGCACGCCCCTTCGAGCTCAGTGCACCTGCTGCCAGCTGGAGGCTTGTTCGTCGTGCAACAGCCTTTCCTCTGTGCAATGACGCACCGCGCTCACAAGCCGCAGCGATAGACCGGCACGAGCAGCTGTCGTTCTTTCGCGCAGCGCGCCATTGACGGTCGGGCCAGCGGCGATCGCACCTCGTGGTCGCAGGGCCGCCGCGATCACCTCCTCGTGGGGCTGCTGCTGCAAAGCCGCGCAGGATGACTCATCTTCGTCAACACCGCTTGCTTCAGTCACGCGCGGGGCCACGCATTGCCCTCTTGCTCATAGTAGCCGTAGCGCACGTCGCGGCGAGTCCACTTGCGACGCTCCGTCGCGTGGAGATCGTCTCAGGCGATACAGCCGCAACGGCTGAAAGAGTCGGCACGGCTGCTACAGCTGTATCCAGCCATCGCCGGAGTGCGCTAAAGACAGCCGTCGTCGAGTTGTCGCCGCCGCCACCCGTAGCGCCTTCGACTCCTGGTGGACTCTCGGCGCCGCCGGCCGCGCCGCGACCTCCCGGCTCCAGCGGCAACGCGTCGGCAAGCGAGTACGGCCCGGAGTTCCCGCCGACGTACGATCAACGTGAGTTGCGGCGCTTCCTTTTCCGTTATGATCTTGTCGCCATTGCGAGTCGCACCCACAGTGTGGCAATTGCGACGCGCACATGCTTATCTCGTTACAGTTTCGCTCAGCTGAAACCAATCCGTCGGTTGGAGAGCCACATTCAATCTCAAACCGCCCGAATCGGCAAACGGTCAAAACCAGCGGAGTCTCACAAAAGTGGCCCTTGTCTGTGCGTGTGCGGGTGTGCGCGTGCGCGTGTGCGCGTGCATGGGCGTGCGCGTGTGGGAATGGCAGGGCTGGCGTTGGCGGAGGTGCGCGTGGCGATGGACCCTGAGGGCTTGGAGCTGGAGTCGTGGGACTCGGACGTCGGCTGGGCCTTCTGGATGGGCGTTGAATGCGACCAGTGGAACCAAGTCGTCAAACTGTACGCGTTATACGCTGCTTCTCGAAATACCGGTTAAGCGTGCAGTGCCAGGACCGGAACGAACCGGCCGTCAAGCTGTAAGCGCTATACCCCATTTCCCATTTCCCCATTCCCCCATTCCCCATTCCCCCATTTCTCATTCCCCCATTCCCCATTTCCCCGCCCGCGCTCATTCCCCATCAATCTTGCGCAGGTCGCTGGGCGGCAACGAGCTGACGGGGAGCATCCCCGAAGGCATCTCGCACCTCACCGCGCTGCAACACCTGTGAGCATGTGGCATGGAGCATGTGGCATGGAGCATGTGGCATGGAGCATAGGGAAGAGATATAGTTCTTGCTTTCGCAGCCCCGACCATCCTTCTCTCCCTTCCCTTTCCTTCCACCCCCTCCCTCCCCCACCCTCCCACTTCTGTTTCCGATCATCCCGTTTCTGTGCGGTGCGCGTGGCGTGGCGGGGCGGGGGGCGGGTGGCAGGGACGTGAGGGGCAACCAGCTGGCGGGGTCGCTGGTGGGGGAGATCGCGCGCCTGCCCCCCCATGCCCACAGAGACCTGTCCAACAACCGCATCTTCCCCTCCCTTCCCCCATGCCCCATCCCCCCCCCCCCCCCGTGCGTCCCCCCATGCGAGCAGGGACCTGTCCAACAACCGCATCAACGGCTCGCTGCCCAGCTCCCTCTCCAACCTCACCGCCCTGCGCCACCTGTATGTGCACGGCGCAACCCATACTCACCTGCCATACCTGCCATACCTGCCATACCTGCCATACCTGCCATACCTGCCATACCTGCCATACCTGCCATGCATCGCTGCACACCTGCACGGCACTCCGCTTCATGCCTGCATGCATCCATGCCCCACCCACACTCCTCCACGCCACATGTGTCCACCCACGCCACACTCCCCTTGCCCCACTTGTTACGCATGCCATCTCCCACCCCCAATCCCTGCTTACACCCCCCCTCCCCCTCCCCCTCCCCCACCCCCTCCGCGCGCCCCTGCCAGCGACCTGCATCAGAACGCCATCACCGGCCCGCTGCCCTCCTCCCTTGCCGCGCTCTCCCTGCTCACCCGACTGTGAGTCCTGCAGGCCACATGCTACTCCCTCAGAAGCTTACCGATCATCACACGTGCTTGTGGCATCTCTGGTATCACCACACCACCAACTCACGCCTCCCCAACTCACCACTCTTGCTGTCTGCCCCTCGCCTGTCTCCCTCTGCGCCCTTCTGTTCCGCCTCATCACAACCTTGCATTGCCCCCCCTTGTTCATCCCCCGCCCTGAGCAGTGACCTGCACGAGCTTGACTTCACGCCCGCCCCTCTGCCGCCCGCTCTTGGCGCCCTCTCCTCCCTCCGCTACCTGTGAGCGCCCCCCTCCCCTCTCTCTCTCCTCTCCCCTCCACCCCACCCCGCATTTTTTGCCCTCAGCTTGTCCCCTTCCCTCCTCCACCTCGTTCCCCTCTCACCCCCCAAGAGGTGTTGAGGGGAGCAAAGCCTCAAGGTTTAGAATGGAAGGTTGGCACAACACATGCTGGCTCGGAGAATGGTAACACATTGAGGCACATGGTGTTATGATTCATGTGCGCGGGGTGTATGGCAAGGCGTGCACGGCATAGAGAGTGCGTCGGATTTTCACCGTGTCGTTTTCGGTTCAGTGTTAACGGTGTGAACTTGAAACCAGCGTGTGTTGCGAGTCGAGAAGTCAAGGTGCTGTGAGAAGTGAGAAGAGTGAGCACTCTCTTGACCTCCTCCCCTCCTCCTCTCCACCCGTCCACCTCTTCCTCTCCTGTCTTTCTCTGCCGAGCTCGTTTGGGCGGCGGCATGCTGCTGTGGCCGCCACTCGGCTCTTCATTCCTCATTCCTCATTCCTCCTTCCTCCTTCCTCCTTCCTCCTTCCTCCTTCCTCCTTCCTCCTTCCTCCTTCCTCCTTCCTCCTTCCTCCTTCCTCCTTCCTCCTTCCTCCTTCCTCCTTCCTCCTTCCTCATTCCTCATTCCTCATTCCTCATTCCTCATTCCTCAACCCCTCCTTCCTCCTTGCTCGCTCCCACCTGTCACGCCCTCACCCCGTCTGCCTGCTCCCTCTGCCCCTCGCCCACCCCCATGTGATGTGATACGGGGCAGCGACCTGTCATACACGCACCTCACCGGCCCTCTGCCCGCCTCCATTGCCAACCTCTCCGCCCTCAACTTCCTGTACGCCCCGCCCCGCCCTGCCCTGCGACCCTTGTGCCGTCCCGCCCTGCCCTGACCCGCCCCACCCTGCCCTGCCCTGCCATCTCTCATGTTCTCTGGCCATGCTATGCATGCCGTGCCCCTGACGCCTTTGACCCTCGTCTCGCACCTTCAACTCACCTACAACAACGCACCTCCATGAGTTCTCCTGCAAAATCTTCTCTCTCCCTTCAACCCCTCCCTTTCTCTCTCCACTCCATTCCCGCTCCACTCCACCATTCCATGCCATGCCTCACACCATGCCACTCCTGGACCCGTCCTCTCCTGTCTTCTCCACCTTTCCACCTTTCCCCGCCCGCGCAGCTCGGTGGACGGCAACGCCCTGACGGGCTCCATCGACTTCTTCCCGCCCAACTCCTCCCTCCAAGCCATGTGAGTCCAAGCCATGTGAGTCCAAGCCATGTGAGTCCAACGCATGTGAGTCCAACGCATGTGAGTCCAACGCATGTGAGTCCAACGCATCTCATTCCAAATGCAGGTAAATTGGTAGTGCTGCCCTCTCCCCTCTCACCTGCGTCACCTCCCATTTCCCCGCCCACCCCCATCGCTGCCAGCCTAGCGGGGCACAACCAGCTGCAGGGGGCGGTGCCGGACGTGGCGATGCACCCGCGCCTGCGCCTGCTGTCACTGCACGACAACAACCTCACTGGCCCCGTGCCCGCTGCCGACCTCAACTCCACCACCACTGTCGTGTCAGTGCCCTCTCAACCCATCCCAACCCATCCCAACCCATCCCAATCCATCCCAACCCAACCCAACCCATATCCCAATCCGCCTTGTGTGTGTGACATCCCACTCATGCCACCCGCCTCGCCTCTCACGCATGCTGTGCTGTGCATCGACCAGCGCGCCACCACCTCCTCACCCCCCACACCCCACACCCTCCACCCCCCTTCCTCTCTCCACCCCCCTTCTCCCTCAACGTGCCAGCCTGGCGGGCAACCCCCTGTGCACATCAGCCAAGTACTACCGCACGTGCAACGTGTGGCAGCAGCGCCGCCTGTGCACGCTACCGTGCAGCGGCAGCGGGGAGAGCCCCAGCCCCGTGGAGTACGTGCAGTCGCAGGCGTGCGTGTGCGCGCTGCCCCTCGTCGTGCGCCTCTTCCTGCAGAACCCCTCCTACACGCTCTTCAATGCCGAATACGCCGACCTCTTTCAGCGCGACGTGGAGACGCAACTGCAGCTGCAGGAGGGGCAGGTGCGTGGTTGAAGAGGGCGGACGGGTGGGTGGGTGGGTGGGTGGGTGGAGCGGGGGAGGTGGGGGCAGATCGGTGGAGGGTGAGGGGGGGGGGGACATGTGGGTGGGGGGGAAGGGACGTGGGTGGGGGGGGAGGGACACGTGGGTGGAGGGCAAGTGGTAGGGGAGGGCAGGAGGGTGTGTCGTGTGTTCCTCCCTGTGGGTGTGTGCTTGCATGAGTGCATTCTTGGTGCCCATGTGTGCTCTCAACGTGCGACTAGGGCAACACGAGGTTCGCTCTGCCCCCTCCGTCTCCTTCACATGCCGCCCACTCATTCCGGCAACCCACTCATTTCTGCAACCCACTCATTTCTGCCGCTCACTCAATCATCCACCCACTCGCGCATGCTGCCCATCTAATCATGCCCACTCAAGACATGCCGCCCAGTTGGTCGTTCCACCCAGCAACATATGTGTGTGCATGCATGCATGTGTGTGAGCAGGCGTGGTTGGACAGTGTGAGTCAGCGCGAGGACAACCTCGAGGTCGCCACGCTGCGCTTCTACCCCGCCCAGGTCACCTGCACGCCACCCTATGTGCTCTCCACGCCTCCTGGTGGCCTCCTCTCGCTGCTTGCACTCGCTCACCCACACACCATCCCTCGCTCCTTCCATTGCCTATATTGTCTCACCATTTCCTCCCTCTCTCTTCCCCTACCCACCCTACCTGCCACACCGTGCTGCCCGCCCTCCCTCACCCCCCACAGATGGCCCACCACCCCCGCCAGTGCCCAGCCCGTCACCACCCCCTCCCACGCTGGCTGTCACCACTGAAAGCAGTACGCCCCCCCCTCCCTGCCTCCCCTACCACTGCCTCTCCTCAAGCCGTGTGCTTCCTTCCCACTCTTCCCTCATCCCAATATTCACTACTTGCACTCTTTACTCATCCCAAGTTTCACTCCTTGGACTCGTTACTTATTCCACTCTGCAATCTACTCTCCATCCTCCGTCCGTCTCCCTTCCCTCCTCCCTCCCCCTCCCTCCTACCTCCCCGTGCCTCCCAGAGAGCACGTTCCCGGTGTGGGCCATTGTGGTCACGGCAGTGGGGCTGCTGTGCTTTGGCGCCTCGCTGCTGCTGCTGCTGCTCTGGCTGCGCCACCAGCGCAGACGCCAGATGCTCCGTGAGTGCCGCCCGCATGCTGAGAGTAGGAAGGATCAGACGGATCGGTATGATAGTTGTGGTGTGAAGGGGCAGGAGTGGCTTGAGGGAGCAGGAGCAGTGGAGCGTGCTGTGAGGTGTGGAGAAGCAACAAGAGCTCATCTGGTCTCAAACCCTTTGCGCGAGCCCCTGCCGCACCTGGTCCCCTTGCCTGTGCCCAATGCAATAAATGCAGTTACTAACCTCGAGCTCCTTTGCGTGGTTCCCTCAGCCAACGCTAACCCTGCTCGTGCTGAGCTGATGCCGCGAACGTCAACCCTCCTCCCACCCACCACCACAGGGCCCACCAAGTCGAAGCTGACTCAGCGGCTGCAGGAGCAGTTTGTGCGCCCCATCGCGCTGGCGGAGATCGAGGCCGCCACCGACTCGTTCGCGGACGCGCGGCTGCTGGGCGTGGGCGGGTACGGGTCGGTGTACCGCGGGGACGGGCCCAACGGGGAGGAGTGGGCCGTGAAGCGCGCGCAGGTCGCCACTGTGCAGTCCATGGGCGTGTTTCAGAACGAGGTCAGTCCATGGGCGTGTTTCAGAACGAGGTCAGTCCATGGGCGTGTTTCAGAACGAGGTCAGTCCATGGGCGTGTTTCAGAACGAGGTCAGTCCATGGGCGTGTTTCAGAACGAGGTCAGTCCATGGGCGTGTTTCAGAACGAGGTCAGTCCATGGGCGTGTTTCAGAACGAGGTCAGTCCATGGGCGTGTTTCAGAACGAGGTCAGTCCATGGGCGTGTTTCAGAACGAGGTCAGTCCATGGGCGTGTTTCAGAACGAGGTCAGTCCACGGGCGTGTTTCAGAACGAGGTCAGTCCACGGGCGTGTTTCAGAACGAGGTCAGTCCACGGGCGTGTTTCAGAACGAGGTCAGTCCATGGGCGTGTTTCAGAACGAGGTCAGTCCATGGGCGTGTTTCAGAACGAGGTCAGTCCATGGGCGTGTTTCAGAACGAGGTCAGTCCATGGGCGTGTTTCAGAACGAGGTCAGTCCACGGGCGTGTTTCAGAACGAGGTCAGTCCATGGGCGTGTTTCAGAACGAGGTCAGTCCATGGGCGTGTTTCAGAACGAGGTCGGTCCATGGGCGTGTTTCAGAACGAGGTCGGTCCATGGGCGTGTTTCAGAACGAGGTCGGTCCATGGGCGTGTTTCAGAACGAGGTCAGTTCATGGGCGTGTTTCAGAACGAGGTCGGTCCATGGGCGTGTTTCAGAACGAGGTCAGTCCATGGGCGTGTTTCAGAACGAGGTCAGTCCATGGGCGTGTTTCAGAACGAGGTCGGTCCATGGGCGTGTTTCAAAACGAGGTCGGTCCATGGGCGTGTTTCAGAACGAGGTCAGTCCATGGGCGTGTTTCAGAACGAGGTCGGTCCATGGGCGTGTTTCAGAACGAGGTCGGTCCATGGGCGTGTTTCAGAACGAGGTCGGTCCATGGGCGTGTTTCAGAACGAGGTCGGTCCATGGGCGTGTTTCAGAACGAGGTCGGTCCATGGGCGTGTTTCAGAACGGGGTGCGCAGGGGATGAGGCGCGTTAGCGGAATTGCCCCTCCCGTCCCCGCATCGTCCTGTTTTCCATCCGCCTCCATTGTATTTGCACCGCTCCTACTCGTCACCCTCGTGGCCTTTCTTCCACTCACCTGCTGCCTTTGTCAACTTCCACCCTCCTCCCTTCCCCCGCCCTCCAACCCCCCCTGTCCTTCTCCTCTATATCCTGCTCTCCCTCTTCCCTGCTCCTCCCATCCCCCATGTCCCACTCGCCACACATCACCACCGTGCTAAAATCTTCATGATTTGGACGGATCCTCCTCGAATTCCCTCCTACTTTCACCTTATCCACCCAACCCCTCCTAGCTAGCAATACTGAAGAGACCATGTGCCATGCGCAGAATGCGTTGCCGCCCTGCCTGCCCTCCACGTGCACGTGACACCACCACAAGCCCCACGCGCCCACCACGTTGCGTTGCAAGCCTCTAACCACCTGCGCGCCCCCTCCCCTCCCATCACCCCTCTCAGATGGCCTCCCACGCCCCCCCTCCACACACCCTTTCCACCAGGTGCGCGTGAACATCAGCCATGAGCCGCCGCCACCTCATAGCACTGCTCTGAAAGGCGTAAGCCACCCAAACCCTCCCCCCCCAACCGATCATTGCCCATCTCACCCCTCCCCATCCTTACCCACCACCCCCCCCTCTGCCCGCCAGGTGGACGTGATATCAGCCATGAGTCACCGCAACCTGATAGCGCTGCTGGGGTACTGCGAGGACAAGGGCGAGCAGATCCTCGTCTACGAGTTCGCTGCTCACGGCACCCTCAGCGCGCACCTGCGCCCGCCCGCCGGTGAGCGCCACTCCATGGGTGGGTGTGATGTGAGGGCGCTGCCACGGGCATGTGTGTGTGGGTGCATGAGTGGGTGGGTGGGTGGGTGGGTGGGTGCATGAGTGGGTGGGTGGGTGGGTGGGTGCATGAGTGGGTGGGTGGGTGGGTGGGTGGGTGCATGATTGGGTGGGTGGGTGGGTGGGTGCATGAGTGGGTGGGTGGGTGGGTGGGTGCATGAGTGGGTGGGTGGGTGGGTGGGTGCATGAGTGGGTGGGTGGGTGGGTGGGTGCATGAGTGGGTGGGTGGGTGGGTGGGTGCATGAGTGGGTGGGTGGGTGGGTGGGTGCATGAGTGGGTGGGTGGGTGGGTGGGTGCATGAGTGGGTGGGTGGGTGCATGGGTGGGTGGGTGGGTGTGGTGTGCACGAGTGACATTGTGCACGGACTGCCTCTGCACCTGTTGTGGCAACTATCCCTGGGCAGCACTGTGGGGCTGTGTGCCCCTACTCTTTTCTCGCCCTCTATTCCCCTCCCCTCTTAATCCACCCATCATCCCCTTATTTTCCTCCCTGTACTTCCTCCGCTTTCTTCCCTCTCCTCCCCGTCCTTTCCGGACCTTCCCCACCCACCCCTCCGCCCACCCGCCCGTGTGAGCAGACAAGCCAACGCCTCCTCTAACGCTGCAGCAGCGCGTGGAGGTGGCGCTGGGGGCGGCGCAGGGGCTGTTCTACCTGCACTCGTTCGCACGCCCGCCCGTCATCCACCGCGATGTCAAGTCCGGCAACATCCTGCTGGATGCTGACATGCAGGTGTGTGGTGGAGGGGGACGAAGAGAAGATTGGTTGCGTGTGAATGGGGAGGGGGAGGGGATGCGGGTGGGTGATTGAAATGCTCCCGTGTGCCGTGGGGCTGTCCCATCCGCCCGTCATCCACCGCGACGTCAAGTCCGGCAACATCCTGCTGGATGCTGACATGCAGGTGGGTGGGGGGGAGGGAGGAATGGGAAAGAGGGGGGGGTGGAGACAGGTGGTGCGGGGTGGGGAGGGGATGCAGATGGGGGAGTTGACCTTTGAGGCGCCTCAAGAGTCGCCCGCCCGTCATCCACCGCGACGTCAAGTCCAGCAACATCCTGCTGGATGCTGACATGCAGGTGGGTGGGGGGGAGGGGGGACGTGCAGCTGTGGGGGGGAACTTGCAGGTGGGAGAGGGTATTGCAGGTGGGAGGGGAGGAAGGAGCATGTGGGGGGAAAGGGGCATGCAGGTGGGGGTATAAGTTGGGGGCGAAGGGGACGTGTGGGATGGGATACACAGTTACGGGGGTTGCACGTGTGCAGGATTGACATGTTCCACTGTGCACGTGTGCAGGATCGACATGTTCCACTGTGCACGTGTGCAGGATTGACATGTTCCACTGTGCACGTGTGCAGGATTGACATGTTCCACTGTGCACGTGTGCAGGATTGACATGTTCCACTGTGCACGTGTGCAGGATTGACATGTTCCACTGTGCACGTGTGCAGGATTGACATGTTCCACTGTGCACGTGTGCAGGATTGACGTGTTCCACTGTGCACGTGTGCAGGATTGACATGTTCCACTGTGCACGTGTGCAGGATTGACATGTTCCACTGTGCACGTGTGCAGGATTGACATGTTCCACTGTGCACGTGTGCAGGATTGACGTGTTCCACTGTGCACGTGTGCAGGATTGACATGTTCCACTGTGCACGTGTGCAGGATTGACATGTTCCACTGTGCACGTGTGCAGGATTGACATGTTCCACTGTGCACGTGTGCAGGATTGACATGTTCCACTGTGCACGTGTGCAGGATTGACATGTTCCACTGTGCACGTGTGCAGGATTGACATGTTCCACTGTGCACGTGTGCAGGATTGACATGTTCCACTGTGCACGTGTGCAGGATTGACATGTTCCACTGTGCACGTGTGCAGGATTGACATGTTCCACTGTGCACGTGTGCAGGATTGACATGTTCCACTGTGCACGTGTGCAGGATTGACATGTTCCACTGTGCACGTGTGCAGGATTGACATGTTCCACTGTGCACGTGTGCAGGATTGACATGTTCCACTGTGCACGTGTGCAGGATTGACATGTTCCACTGTGCACGTGTGCAGGATTGACATGTTCCACTGTGCACGTGTGCAGGATTGACATGTTCCACTGTGCACGTGTGCAGGATTGACATGTTCCACTGTGCACGTGTGCAGGATTGACATGTTCCACTGTGCACGTGTGCAGGATCGACATGTTCCACTGTGCACGTGTGCAGGATCGACATGTTCCACTGTGCACGTGTGCAGGATCGACATGTTCCACTGTGCACGTGTGCAGGATCGACATGTTCCACTGTGCACGTGTGCAGGATCGACATGTTCCACTGTGCACGTGTGCAGGATTGACATGTTCCACTGTGCACGTGTGCAGGATTGACATGTTCCACTGTGCACGTGTGCAGGATTGACATGTTCCACTGTGCACGTGTGCAGGATTGACATGTTCCACTGTGCACGTGTGCAGGATTGACATGTTCCACTGTGCACGTGTGCAGGATTGACATGTTCCACTGTGCACGTGTGCAGGATTGACATGTTCCACTGTGCACGTGTGCAGGATTGACATGTTCCACTGTGCACGTGTGCAGGATTGACATGTTCCACTGTGCACGTGTGCAGGATTGACATGTTCCACTATGCACGTGTGCAGGATTGACATGTTCCACTGTGCACGTGTGCAGGATTGACATGTTCCACTGTGCACGTGTGCAGGATTGACATGTTCCACTGTGCACGTGTGCAGGATTGACATGTTCCACTGTGCACGTGTGCAGGATTGACATGTTCCACTGTGCACGTGTGCAGGATTGACATGTTCCACTGTGCACTGTTCCCTCTCCCACCTGCAATACCCTCTCCCACCTGTACTCATGCTCCACTGTCGCCGGCTTGAAGGTCCGAGGTTGTTCCCCACACCACTCACGCTGTGTGGCCCTTATCCCCCTCCGCCCTTCCCCACGTATGCCCCACTGCGTGTCCCCCCTCCTTCCCTTGCCCCTCTCCATGCACGCACAGGCGAAGGTGGCGGACTTTGGGCTGCTGAAGGCGTCCAAGGGCGAGGGCGTGGCGCACAGCACGCAGGTGGCGGGCACACCGGGGTACCTGGACCCCGAGTACTACTCCGCCTTCAAGGTCACCGCCAAGAGCGACGTCTACAGGTGCGAGGGTGCTGCTCCCGCCCAGGCACCTCCGTCTTTATTCTCATGCACGCTGTGCGCCGTGCCCCGCATGCTATGCTATTTGCTGATGCTGCCCCATGCCACATCCATTCCCGCCTCACGTGCTCAAATGGGTGCAGCACACCCCGGGTGCTGCTGCAGCCTGCATGGCTTGGATCACAAGCACGCTTTGCGCCCTGCCTCACACACCACACGTTTTGCCAACACAATCCGTGCTGTGCCGCGCCAATCCCCCATCCCCGGCACCTGCAGCTTCGGCGTGGTGCTGCTGGAGATCCTGACGGGGCTGCCGCCCATCTTTGAGAGCCTTGACGCCAACGAGTCCACGGATGGGGAGCGGCAGATGACGAGCCTGGCCAGATGGGTGAGAGGCGAGAGGGGTGAGAGGCGAGATGGGTGAGAGGCGAGATGGGTGAGAGGCGAGATGGGTGAGAGGCGAGATGGGTGAGAGGCGAGATGGGTGAGAGGCGAGGGGTGAGAGGCGTCTTGGTGGGATGGGCACAAAGAAAATCAAGTCCTTCTCTTCCTGCACTCAGTTTGCCTCAGCCCTTCTCACCCTCCTCTCAGCTTGCTCAGCCCTTCTCACCCTCCTCTCAGCTTGCCTCAGCCTTTCTCACCCTCCTCTCAGCTTGCCTCAGCCCTTCTCACCCTCCTCTCGGCTTGCTCAGCCCTTCTCACCCTCCTCTCAGCTTGCCTCAGCCTTTCTCACCCTCCTCTCAGCTTGCCTCAGCCTTTCTCACCCTCCTCTCAGCTTGCCTCAGCCTTTCTCAACCTCCTCTCGGCTTGCCTCGCCCTTCTCACCCTCCTCTCAACTTGCCTCAGCCCTTCTCACCCTCCTCTCGGCTTGCCTCAGCCCTTCTCACCCTCCTCTCGGCTTGCCTCAGCCCTTCCCGTTCCTCCCGCAGCTGCACTCTGCTCCCACCTCTCTCTTCTTTCTTGATGCCCTTCCTCCTCCTCCTTCCCCCACGTTTCTCACTTTCCCTCCCCTCCTGCCACTCCTCTCCTCCCCCTTCGCCCCTCTCCACAGTGTGCGCCGTACGTGCAGACGGGCAACGTGGCCAAGATAGTGGACCCGCGCCTGGGCGCCGACTACCCGGTGGACATCGTGAAGGCCATGGCGGAGGTGGCCATGGCGTGCGTGCAGCGCCACAGCAAGAACCGCCCCGACACCGGCGAGGTTGTGCGGCGCCTGGGGGACATTCTCGCACGCCTCACGGGCGACGAGAGCGCCGCCACACTGGGCCACCTGCGGTCGCAGAGCTCGAATGTGGGCGCCATTGCCATTCCGGAGGACGGGGAGATCGATCCGAACATTGCGCTGGTGGGCAACATGGAGGGGCCGTACGATGAGAGCACTGCCGCCATGTCGCAGATTATCCCGCGCTGAGTCATTGTCGTGTTCATGCCACAACAGCATGGGTACCACTTCACGTCTTGGTTGTATTTATCCTGGCAAATGTATTGTACAACCCCGGATATAAGTCCCCTCGATTTTTGGCCCCGGGGATTACCATAATGAGGCAATGGGGCAATAAGACCTATGCCGATTACACGCCCCGTCCTCTTCTTGGAAAAAAAAATGATACAGCAATATGTCAAATCGTAAACATGCATCTTAGTTTGTTTAGCTACAGTGAGGTGCTCTTTAGAGAGTACAACCCTTTTAGGGTTGCCTATTTGTATCTCATCCTTGCTAGTAACATCCATTCCGCTGTTCGTACTTTGACATGGTATAATTTCAGCTTACCTACCTCCCTAGCTCGTTCCTAGAGCCAGCCCGCCAGCCAGCAGCCAGTCAGTCAGCCTGGCAAGCCCGCTAGCGCGCGCCGCCAGCGAAGCACGCAGCTCGCCAGCTGCAAGCGCCAGCCGCGCGCACTGCTAGCACGCCAGCAGCACACGCCGCCAGCGCGCACCCCGCCAGCGCGCACCCCGCCAGCCTCGCGCACACACTCGTAGCACACGACGCCAGAACAGCTACTAGTGTGTGCGCCAGCGTGCGCCACGCCAGCGCAGCCACCCGTGCAGCCGCCTGCGCACGCCCGAACAGCCCGAGCAGCCCGTGCTGTCCGCGCAGCCCGAGCAGCCCGCGCCCGAGAAGCCCGCGCCCACGCAGCTCGAGCAGCATGCGCAACCCTGCAGCGGCTGGAGGCCGCACTCTCTCTTTAAAGGTTTTGAGTTAGCTTCTAGCGTGACGTTCCTAGCTTCCTCTTCCTGACGCCGTTTTAGGGTTTTCACGCCGTTCCTAGCCTGCCGTCCATGGGCCGTGGTTTCTAGCCTGGCGCTCCTAGCCTGGCACTCCTAGCCTGCCGTTCCTAGCCTGGCATTCCTAACCAGCCGTTCCTAGCCAGCCGCTCCTACGCCCAACTAGCTTTCGCCATGGCGACCCCTAGAGTTCTGCGTTTCGACGCAGAGGGCCGGTATCAGGGCCAGTCAGGATCCGGTACCCGCAGGGACCGACGTCTCGCCCACTACTAGCTGAGCCACTTCTGGGGCCGTCACACCTTGGACCCGTAGGTCCCCACTGCCGGGAGTGCTGCGTTTGGCCCTGCTGCTGTAGAACATGTTCTGAGCTAGAAACGGGGAGCGGTTCTGGCCGGTGTAGAGCGGTGGGGAGCGGTCAAGAGCGGGCGGGTGGGGCGGCGGGTTACAGGTGGGGCGGCGGGTTACAGGTGGGGCGGCGGGTTACAGATGGGGCTGCGGGTTATAGGTGGGGCGGTTGGTTACAGGTGTGGCAGCAGGCAACGGGTGGGGCAGCATGTTATGGGTGACGCGGCGGGTTACAGGTGGGGCTGCGGGTCACAGGTGGGGCGGCTGGTTACAGGTGTGGCAGCAGGCTGCAGGTGGGGCAGCAGGTTACGGGTGAGCCTAAGCTGCTGCTGGTGCGCTGGCGGCAGCCTATGCTGCTGCTGGTGCTGCTGGCGGCAGCCTAAGCTGTTGCTAGTGCTGCTGGCGGCAGTGTATGCTGCTGCTAGTGCTCAGGCGGTGGCGTAGGCTGCTCGCACTCGCTGGCGGGTTACAGGTGGGGCGTCGGGTTACAGGTGGGGCGGCGGGTTACAGGTGGGGCTGCGGGTTACAGGTAGGGCGGCTGGTTACAGGTGTGGCAGCAGGCTACGGGTGGGGGCAGCAGGTTACGGGTGAGCCTAAGCTGTTGCCGGTGTGCTGGCGGCAACCTATGCTGCTGCTGGTGCTGCTGGAGGCAGCCTAAGCTGCTGCTGGCGGCAGTGTATGCTGCTGCTAGTGCTTGTGGAGGCAGTCTAAGTTGTTGCTAGCGCTCTGGCGGTGGTGTAGGCTGCTGGCACTCGCTGGCGGCGGGTTAAGCCTACAGGTGAGCCTAAGCTGCTGATGATGCTGTTGGCGACAGCCTAAGTTGCTGCTAGTGCTGCTGGCGGCAGTTTCAGGTCGTGGGGTGGCGGGTTCAGGTAGTGGGGCGGCGGTTTCAGGTGTGGGGCGCCGGGTTCAGGTCCTGGGCATCGGTTTCAGGTGTGGGGTGGCGGGTTTCAGGTGTGGGGCGGCGGGTTTTAGGTGTGGGGCGGCGGTTTATGCTGCTGCTAGTGCTGCTAACGGGTGGGGCGGCGGTTTCAGGTCGTGGGGAGGGTGCCAACGGGTGGGGCGGCGGAAGGCAGCGGGTGACGGGTGGGGACTGCTGCTAACAGGTGGGGTGGCGGGTTTCAGCACGTGTGGCGACGGGTTTCAGGTGGGACGGCGGGTAAGGCAGCGGGCGACATGTGGTAAAGGTGGGGCGACGGGTAAGGCAGCGGGCGTGACTAACGGGCTACGCGTGCGCGCGGCTTTGGCGTACATGCGCGCAGTTGCGCGTGCGACTAACGCTGGCGTGCAGCTATGCGCGTGCGTCTGCTGCGCGCTAGCGGGCTGGCAGGCAAAGCGCGCGAGGCAGAACGGGTGGGGCGCGGGGACAGGTGACGGAGGGGCAAACCGGGTGACGGGGCTAGGGGGCGGCTTACGGGGCCGACGGGTAGGGCGCGGGCTAGTGGGATGACGAGGCGCTATGGGCGTTGGGGCGCTACGGGCAATTTTGGGGCACGGGGCGGTGGGCTTCTCGGATCATTAAGCTCTGATACCATGTTACAAACTAACTTGTGTAAGAATTGACTAGAATTACAAAGTTACAAGCAATATGTATGAAACCCTAATCTAGAGGTAGGGCAAAACAATAACACCTATGAAATAGATGTTGACACACGAACGTGTACGCGCTGGCGACGCCCTTCCACCTGGTGGTGCGCGTGCTGCCCCCGGCCCTGCCTCGCCCTGTCACCGTGCTCTGGCCGCCCAGGGGACCTCTCGAGATGGACTATGTCAGTTTTGAGTCTGTGTGTGCCCTGCATGCATGTGTGCGTGTGCCTCTCACTGCAATTTCTTGTTGCTCTCACGCAGTCGATATCTGCCATCCCAGAAATGCTTCACAAAACATCCACTCCCTCTTCCACCACACCTCAAAACACTTCATTCTGCCACCCACTCCCTGCCCTTCCCTTTCCTGCCCATCGCTATCCCCTGGGGCCCGTCCCCCGGCCATCACTCCCCCTGCCCTCTGCAGGTGCAGCAGCGGGCCTTCTCTGTGTTCTGCCTGCTTGTTTTACCCCAATTTCTCACCCTCCCTGCCATTCCCACCTTCTCCCTCCTCCTCCCCCCGCCCTTTGCAGGTGCAGCAGTGTGGTATTGCTGCGTTCCACCTGCGACACGAGCTGTGGGGGGGGCTCAAGGCGGTGCTGCAGCTGCTGCCTCTGGCATCCGACACCAGCGTGGGCGAGGCTGCTCAGATGCGCTTTCTGCAGAAACACATGCACGCCTCCTTCCACCCCATGAGTATGCCTCCCTGCAGCACCACATGCACGCCTCCTACCACCCCCATGAGTATGCCTCCCTGCAGCACAACATGCACGCCTCCTACCACCCCCATGAGTATGCCTCCCTGCAGCACCACATGCACGGCTCCTTCCACCCCCATTTGTATTTCTCCCTGCAGTGCCAATTGTATATGTCACCCCCTTGTCCATGTTTCAACTCACGAATATGCGCAGTGCTTTACACTGCCATTGCTGAGGCCACAAAACTGTGATCATGCTACTTCTCGATCTGTTCCCTCTCGTGTGTCACACACATCCGCCCACCCCTCTCTTTCTCACCTCCCCCATTCCCGACCAGACCCCTCACCCCTCGCGCAGACCTCACTCTCCCTGCCGCCATGGCCTTCGCGCCAGCGGCGATCTGCTGTTGACCAGCAAGTTCCCTGGTCTCCTTGGCGCCAAGCTACATTCTCAGCAGCCCCCTTTCCCTCTCCGCACCTGCCCCTCCCCTCCCCATTCCCGACCAGGCCCCCCGCACCGCCACCCGACCTCACTCTCCCCACCGCCACGGCCTTCCTGTGAAGCGGCGATCTGCTGTTGACGAGCAAGTTCCGCCGGCGATGGGGTCTCTTTGAGACCATCGAGAAGTGGGTCACCGGCAGCTATGCTGCTCATGCCGCCCTGCTGCTGCGCACTGATGCCGCAGGGGATCAGTGCGGGTGGGGGAGGTGATGGGGGTGATGGGGGTGAAGGATTGGGGGAGGTGAGGGAGGGGGAGCTCTGGGTTGCACAGAGCGGGCGGATTAGCATGGCAGGGCGGCCGGAGATTGCGGTGGAGCGCTTTTCAGAATGGTGGGGGCGGATGCAGAGGGATCCGAGTGGGCAGCACGTGGTGGTGCTGCAGCTGGGGGAGGAGGGGCGGCTGCTGTGGGACAATGGGTGCGCGTGGGCGTTCGTGCGAGCAATGGAGGGGCGGCAGTTTGGATACCACAATATCATGTTCAGCTGGATCGATACACCTGCAAACAACTTTCCCCCGCCTGTTAATGAAAACACGGTAAGGGGAGGGTGGTGGACGAATAAGTTTTAGTCGATTGAAAGGAGGAGGGGCAGCAGTTATCACAGCATTGTGTTCAGCTGAATTGATACGACTACTGGGGACTTCCCTCCACCCGTCGATGAGAACACGGTGAGGGGGGCCTGGTGGGTGGGTACGGTGAGGGGGGCCTGGTGGATGGGCACGGTGAGGGGGGCCTGGTGGATGGGCACGGTGAGGGGGGCCTGGTGGATGGGCACGGTGAGGGGGGCCTGGTGGATGGGCACGGTGAGGGGGGCCTGGTGGATGGGCACGGTGAGGGGGGCCTGGTGGATGGGCACGGTGAGGGGGGCCTGGTGGATGGGCACGGTGAGGGGGGCCTGGTGGATGGGCACGGTGAGGGGGGCCTGGTGGATGGGCACGGTGAGGGGGGCCTGGTGGATGGGCACGGTGAGGGGGGCCTGGTGGATGGGCACGGTGAGGGGGGCCTGGTGGATGGGCACGGTGAGGGGGGCCTGGTGGATGGGCACGGTGAGGGGGGCCTGGTGGATGGGCACGGTGAGGGGGGCCTGGTGGATGGGCACGGTGAGGGGGGCCTGGTGGATGGGCACGGTGAGGGGGGCCTGGTGGATGGGCACGGTGAGGGGGGCCTGGTGGATGGGCACGGTGAGGGGGGCCTGGTGGATGGGCACGGTGAGGGGGGCCTGGTGGATGGGCACGGTGAGGGGGGCCTGGTGGATGGGCACGGTGAGGGGGGCCTGGTGGATGGGCACGGTGAGGGGGGCCTGGTGGATGGGCACGGTGAGGGGGGCCTGGTGGATGGGCACGGTGAGGGGGGCCTGGTGGATGGGCACGGTGAGGGGGGCCTGGTGGATGGGCACGGTGAGGGGGGCCTGGTGGATGGGCACGGTGAGGGGGGCCTGGTGGATGGGCACGGTGAGGGGGGCCTGGTGGATGGGCACGGTGAGGGGGGCCTGGTGGATGGGCACGGTGAGGGGGGCCTGGTGGATGGGCACGGTGAGGGGGGCCTGGTGGATGGGCACGGTGAGGGGGGCCTGGTGGATGGGCACGGTGAGGGGGGCCTGGTGGATGGGCACGGTGAGGGGGGCCTGGTGGATGGGCACGGTGAGGGGGGCCTGGTGGATGGGCACGGTGAGGGGGGCCTGGTGGATGGGCACGGTGAGGGGGGCCTGGTGGATGGGCACGGTGAGGGGGGCCTGGTGGATGGGCACGGTGAGGGGGGCCCTGGTGGATGGGCACGGTGAGGGGGGCCTGGTGGATGGGCACGGTGAGGGGGGCCTGGTGGATGGGCACGGTGAGGGGGGCCTGGTGGATGGGCACGGTGAGGGGGGCCTGGTGGATGGGCACGGTGAGGGGGGCCTGGTGGATGGGCACGGTGAGGGGGGCCTGGTGGATGGGCACGGTGAGGGGGGCCTGGTGGATGGGCACGGTGAGGGGGGCCTGGTGGATGGGCACGGTGAGGGGGGCCTGGTGGATGGGCACGGTGAGGGGGGCCTGGTGGATGGGCACGGTGAGGGGGGCCTGGTGGATGGGCACGGTGAGGGGGGCCTGGTGGATGGGCACGGTGAGGGGGGCCTGGTGGATGGGCACGGTGAGGGGGGCCTGGTGGATGGGCACGGTGAGGGGGGCCTGGTGGATGGGCACGGTGAGGGGGGCCTGGTGGATGGGCACGGTGAGGGGGGCCTGGTGGATGGGCACGGTGAGGGGGGCCTGGTGGATGGGCACGGTGAGGGGGGCCTGGTGGATGGGCACGGTGAGGGGGGCCTGGTGGATGGGCACGGTGAGGGGGGCCTGGTGGATGGGCACGGTGAGGGGGGCCTGGTGGATGGGCACGGTGAGGGGGGCCTGGTGGATGGGCACGGTGAGGGGGGCCTGGTGGATGGGCACGGTGAGGGGGGCCTGGTGGATGGGCACGGTGAGGGGGGCCTGGTGGATGGGCACGGTGAGGGGGGCCTGGTGGATGGGCACGGTGAGGGGGGCCTGGTGGATGGGCACGGTGAGGGGGGCCTGGTGGATGGGCACGGTGAGGGGGGCCTGGTGGATGGGCACGGTGAGGGGGGCCTGGTGGATGGGCACGGTGAGGGGGGCCTGGTGGATGGGCACGGTGAGGGGGGCCTGGTGGATGGGCACGGTGAGGGGGGCCTGGTGGATGGGCACGGTGAGGGGGGCCTGGTGGATGGGCACGGTGAGGGGGGCCTGGTGGATGGGCACGGTGAGGGGGGCCTGGTGGATGGGCACGGTGAGGGGGGCCTGGTGGATGGGCACGGTGAGGGGGGCCTGGTGGATGGGCACGGTGAGGGGGGCCTGGTGGATGGGCACGGTGAGGGGGGCCTGGTGGATGGGCACGGTGAGGGGGGCCTGGTGGATGGGCACGGTGAGGGGGGCCTGGTGGATGGGCACGGTGAGGGGGGCCTGGTGGATGGGCACGGTGAGGGGGGCCTGGTGGATGGGCACGGTGAGGGGGGCCTGGTGGATGGGCACGGTGAGGGGGGCCTGGTGGATGGGCACGGTGAGGGGGGCCTGGTGGATGGGCACGGTGAGGGGGGCCTGGTGGATGGGCACGGTGAGGGGGGCCTGGTGGATGGGCACGGTGAGGGGGGCCTGGTGGATGGGCACGGTGAGGGGGGCCTGGTGGATGGGCACGGTGAGGGGGGCCTGGTGGATGGGCACGGTGAGGGGGGCCTGGTGGATGGGCACGGTGAGGGGGGCCTGGTGGATGGGCACGGTGAGGGGGGCCTGGTGGATGGGCACGGTGAGGGGGGCCTGGTGGATGGGCACGGTGAGGGGGGCCTGGTGGATGGGCACGGTGAGGGGGGCCTGGTGGATGGGCACGGTGAGGGGGGCCTGGTGGATGGGCACGGTGAGGGGGGCCTGGTGGATGGGCACGGTGAGGGGGGCCTGGTGGATGGGCACGGTGAGGGGGGCCTGGTGGATGGGCACGGTGAGGGGGGCCTGGTGGATGGGCACGGTGAGGGGGGCCTGGTGGATGGGCACGGTGAGGGGGGCCTGGTGGATGGGCACGGTGAGGGGGGCCTGGTGGATGGGCACGGTGAGGGGGGCCTGGTGGATGGGCACGGTGAGGGGGGCCTGGTGGATGGGCACGGTGAGGGGGGCCTGGTGGATGGGCACGGTGAGGGGGGCCTGGTGGATGGGCACGGTGAGGGGGGCCTGGTGGATGGGCACGGTGAGGGGGGCCTGGTGGATGGGCACGGTGAGGGGGGCCTGGTGGATGGGCACGGTGAGGGGGGCCTGGTGGATGGGCACGGTGAGGGGGGCCTGGTGGATGGGCACGGTGAGGGGGGCCTGGTGGATGGGCACGGTGAGGGGGGCCTGGTGGATGGGCACGGTGAGGGGGGCCTGGTGGATGGGCACGGTGAGGGGGGCCTGGTGGATGGGCACGGTGAGGGGGGCCTGGTGGATGGGCACGGTGAGGGGGGCCTGGTGGATGGGCACGGTGAGGGGGGCCTGGTGGATGGGCACGGTGAGGGGGGCCTGGTGGATGGGCACGGTGAGGGGGGCCTGGTGGATGGGCACGGTGAGGGGGGCCTGGTGGATGGGCACGGTGAGGGGGGCCTGGTGGATGGGCACGGTGAGGGGGGCCTGGTGGATGGGCACGGTGAGGGGGGCCTGGTGGATGGGCACGGTGAGGGGGGCCTGGTGGATGGGCACGGTGAGGGGGGCCTGGTGGATGGGCACGGTGAGGGGGGCCTGGTGGATGGGCACGGTGAGGGGGGCCTGGTGGATGGGCACGGTGAGGGGGGCCTGGTGGATGGGCACGGTGAGGGGCCTGTGGATGGCACGGTGAGGGGGCCTGGATGGGCACGGTGAGGGGGGCCTGGTGGATGGGCACGGTGAGGGGGGCCTGGTGGATGGGCACGGTGAGGGGGGCCTGGTGGATGGGCACGGTGAGGGGGGCCTGGTGGATGGGCACGGTGAGGGGGGCCTGGTGGATGGGCACGGTGAGGGGGGCCTGGTGGATGGGCACGGTGAGGGGGGCCTGGTGGATGGGCACGGTGAGGGGGGCCTGGTGGATGGGCACGGTGAGGGGGGCCTGGTGGATGGGCACGGTGAGGGGGGCCTGGTGGATGGGCACGGTGAGGGGGGCCTGGTGGATGGGCACGGTGAGGGGGGCCTGGTGGATGGGCACGGTGAGGGGGGCCTGGTGGATGGGCACGGTGAGGGGGGCCTGGTGGATGGGCACGGTGAGGGGGGCCTGGTGGATGGGCACGGTGAGGGGGGCCTGGTGGATGGGCACGGTGAGGGGGGCCTGGTGGATGGGCACGGTGAGGGGGGCCTGGTGGATGGGCACGGTGAGGGGGGCCTGGTGGATGGGCACGGTGAGGGGGGCCTGGTGGATGGGCACGGTGAGGGGGGCCTGGTGGATGGGCACGGTGAGGGGGGCCTGGTGGATGGGCACGGTGAGGGGGGCCTGGTGGATGGGCACGGTGAGGGGGGCCTGGTGGATGGGCACGGTGAGGGGGGCCTGGTGGATGGGCACGGTGAGGGGGGCCTGGTGGATGGGCACGGTGAGGGGGGCCTGGTGGATGGGCACGGTGAGGGGGGCCTGGTGGATGGGCACGGTAGGGGGCCTGGTGGATGGGCACGGTGAGGGGGGCCTGGTGGATGGGCACGGTGAGGGGGGCCTGGTGGATGGGCACGGTGAGGGGGGCCTGGTGGATGGGCACGGTGAGGGGGGCCTGGTGGATGGGCACGGTGAGGGGGGCCTGGTGGATGGGCACGGTGAGGGGGGCCTGGTGGATGGGCACGGTGAGGGGGGCCTGGTGGATGGGCACGGTGAGGGGGGCCTGGTGGATGGGCACGGTGAGGGGGGCCTGGTGGATGGGCACGGTGAGGGGGGCCTGGTGGATGGGCACGGTGAGGGGGGCCTGGTGGATGGGCACGGTGAGGGGGGCCTGGTGGATGGGCACGGTGAGGGGGGCCTGGTGGATGGGCACGGTGAGGGGGGCCTGGTGGATGGGCACGGTGAGGGGGGCCTGGTGGATGGGCACGGTGAGGGGGGCCTGGTGGATGGGCACGGTGAGGGGGGCCTGGTGGATGGGCACGGTGAGGGGGGCCTGGTGGATGGGCACGGTGAGGGGGGCCTGGTGGATGGGCACGGTGAGGGGGGCCTGGTGGATGGGCACGGTGAGGGGGGCCTGGTGGATGGGCACGGTGAGGGGGGCCTGGTGGATGGGCACGGTGAGGGGGGCCTGGTGGATGGGCACGGTGAGGGGGGCCTGGTGGATGGGCACGGTGAGGGGGGCCTGGTGGATGGGCACGGTGAGGGGGGCCTGGTGGATGGGCACGGTGAGGGGGGCCTGGTGGATGGGCACGGTGAGGGGGGCCTGGTGGATGGGCACGGTGAGGGGGGCCTGGTGGATGGGCACGGTGAGGGGGGCCTGGTGGATGGGCACGGTGAGGGGGGCCTGGTGGATGGGCACGGTGAGGGGGGCCTGGTGGATGGGCACGGTGAGGGGGGCCTGGTGGATGGGCACGGTGAGGGGGGCCTGGTGGATGGGCACGGTGAGGGGGGCCTGGTGGATGGGCACGGTGAGGGGGGCCTGGTGGATGGGCACGGTGAGGGGGGCCTGGTGGATGGGCACGGTGAGGGGGGCCTGGTGGATGGGCACGGTGAGGGGGGCCTGGTGGATGGGCACGGTGAGGGGGGCCTGGTGGATGGGCACGGTGAGGGGGGCCTGGTGGATGGGCACGGTGAGGGGGGCCTGGTGGATGGGCACGGTGAGGGGGGCCTGGTGGATGGGCACGGTGAGGGGGGCCTGGTGGATGGGCACGGTGAGGGGGGCCTGGTGGATGGGCACGGTGAGGGGGGCCTGGTGGATGGGCACGGTGAGGGGGGCCTGGTGGATGGGCACGGTGAGGGGGGCCTGGTGGATGGGCACGGTGAGGGGGGCCTGGTGGATGGGCACGGTGAGGGGGGCCTGGTGGATGGGCACGGTGAGGGGGGCCTGGTGGATGGGCACGGTGAGGGGGGCCTGGTGGATGGGCACGGTGAGGGGGGCCTGGTGGATGGGCACGGTGAGGGGGGCCTGGTGGATGGGCACGGTGAGGGGGGCCTGGTGGATGGGCACGGTGAGGGGGGCCTGGTGGATGGGCACGGTGAGGGGGGCCTGGTGGATGGGCACGGTGAGGGGGGGCCTGGTGGATGGGCACGGTGAGGGGGGCCTGGTGGATGGGCACGGTGAGGGGGGCCTGGTGGATGGGCACGGTGAGGGGGGCCTGGTGGATGGGCACGGTGAGGGGGGCCTGGTGGATGGGCACGGTGAGGGGGGCCTGGTGGATGGGCACGGTGAGGGGGGCCTGGTGGATGGGCACGGTGAGGGGGGCCTGGTGGATGGGCACGGTGAGGGGGGCCTGGTGGATGGGCACGGTGAGGGGGGCCTGGTGGATGGGCACGGTGAGGGGGGCCTGGTGGATGGGCACGGTGAGGGGGGCCTGGTGGATGGGCACGGTGAGGGGGGCCTGGTGGATGGGCACGGTGAGGGGGGCCTGGTGGATGGGCACGGTGAGGGGGGCCTGGTGGATGGGCACGGTGAGGGGGGCCTGGTGGATGGGCACGGTGAGGGGGGCCTGGTGGATGGGCACGGTGAGGGGGGCCTGGTGGATGGGCACGGTGAGGGGGGCCTGGTGGATGGGCACGGTGAGGGGGGCCTGGTGGATGGGCACGGTGAGGGGGGCCTGGTGGATGGGCACGGTGAGGGGGGCCTGGTGGATGGGCACGGTGAGGGGGGCCTGGTGGATGGGCACGGTGAGGGGGGCCTGGTGGATGGGCACGGTGAGGGGGGCCTGGTGGATGGGCACGGTGAGGGGGGCCTGGTGGATGGGCACGGTGAGGGGGGCCTGGTGGATGGGCACGGTGAGGGGGGCCTGGTGGATGGGCACGGTGAGGGGGGCCTGGTGGATGGGCACGGTGAGGGGGGCCTGGTGGATGGGCACGGTGAGGGGGGCCTGGTGGATGGGCACGGTGAGGGGGGCCTGGTGGATGGGCACGGTGAGGGGGGCCTGGTGGATGGGCACGGTGAGGGGGGCCTGGTGGATGGGCACGGTGAGGGGGGCCTGGTGGATGGATGGGGTGCATGCAGCGCGATGGCATGCCGTGCCCATGTTCTCCTCTCCACCATGCTCTTCTCTCTTCTTTCCCACGTCAGTGCCTCTGCTGTGCTCCCATGTTGCCATGCTGCCATGCCGCTGTGTGCGGCTTTCCTTCCCATCACCCCAGCCACCCAATGCCACGTGGCATCTCTTTGTCCTCCTCCAAGCGGCCCTTTGTCATCCTCCACCCGTGCCGATCTCTGCGTTCCCATTTGTCATACAATGTGCCCATCCGCCCTCCCCCCCCTCCCATCAGATCCGAGACGCCTACCAGCTGCAACTCTTTGCCTCCAACGCCTCCCACCTCCCCTCTTGGTGCTTTTGAGACGACTCAAAAGTTTTCGCTCCCACTCGGCCTCCTCATGCCCATCCACCCTCCCCCTCCCCACCCATCCCTCTCCCCTCTCCCCCGGTCAGATTCGAGATGCCTACCAGCTACAGCTCTTTGCCTCCAACGCCTCCCACCTGCCCTCCTGGTGCTTCAGCCAAGACCAATCAGAGGAGGAGCAAGCAGGACAGGAGGAGCAAGAACAACTTAGGAGAGAGAGCATGGGAGAGAGGGAAGAGAGGGAATGGGAGCATGGCAGGGAGCAGGTAGGGGAGAGGGCATGGTGTCAGCTGCTGGGCAAGTGGCGCTTCGACCTGCCTGGCTTTAACTCCATCCCTCTCTACGCACGCATGAACGAACGATGCCCCACCCTCCCCCCAAATTACGTGCGGCCGTCCTTCTGCTGACTTCAGCACATTGTGCTACCCTGTAACCTAGCATCAGGAGTGTACAAGTGCGTTGTTTACTAACTTGCATGATTGTTCGCAGCTGTACATAATGCATGCTGGCAAAGCCTCTCCACTCCACCCTCTTTTGTTGTGGTGCCCTTGGGTGCCATTCGCTCTAACAAAGGACTTGTTGGAATAAGATAAGTGATGTGTTTAATGGAAATATGATCAATGCCCAAGGGGATATTTTGGTTTGGTCAGTTCTGAAAACCCCATTTTAACTTGTAGCACAAGCCAGGAATTTTTAGATAGTTTTCAATACATTCAATGGTTAATGCAGCAGTCTCAGAGGATGTAACGATAAATGTTCAAGATACTGTAGTCTTGCTAAAGCTACTATTATGGGTTTCGTAGTCGAATATTCCACCTTTGTCTCATCCTCGGTACTGATACAATTCAGTTCCGTACATAATGCTAGCTCAATTCCTTATCTTAACATAAATAAGAAAATCATCCATCTCAGCCTTTGAACACAGGTAAAAGCGGTCGCGAATCTATTGTGCTTGTGTTATGTTCTTATAGTTTTTGCTTAATCCTTTTTTTCACGGAATATACACCTCAGCTTTATTGGTTGCTATTTGGGCGCTTCTCTGTCGCGCGTACGCATCTGTCAAGAGGACCAGTGAATATTCGCTATGCGAAACTCCTTACCAGTAGAACGCTGTAGCCCTTCGCGACGACGGGCTGTGGACATTCCCTCAGCCCGTCCACCTCGTGCCCCACGGTCGAAAAGAAATGCTTGCGGCTCGTCAGAGATCGTCAGGCGCCGCTAAACGCGTCCTCCGCGCGAGTGCTCTCATGTATTTCAGGCTATTGCCCACGTAGAACCCCCTCCCTCATTTGTGACGATGGCCGGGTCACTGTCACCTCGCCTCACCATTCTCCTCGCCGCACTCGCGGCGCTCTCGCTCTCGCCCACGCCGGCCTCGCCTGCTTCGACTGTTGTGACTCTCCATCCCTCGCAAGGTCCGTCAGCTGTCCACTTCGCGCTTGCCTGACCTCCTGGTCCTCACAACGTCGTAGCACCCGCATCAGCACCCGCAAACCAGCTCATGCCAGCTGGGGTGTACAGCTCGGGCGAGCTAATTAGTAGCCCATTCCAAACTTGCTGGTTACATTGGCCGGAATCCGATAGTATTGTGAGCGATACAGTACGGGCTGTCGTTTGGATCTCACCACCGTAACTTAACCGCTGTGCATTCTGTCCGCAATGACCCTATCCGCAGCGCATCATCCTATCCGCAGCGCATCATCCTATCCGCAGCGCATCATCCTATCCGCAGCGCATCATCCTATCCGCAGCGCATCATCCTATCCGCAGCGCATCATCCTATCCGCAGCGCATCATCCTATCCGCAGCGCATCATCCTATCCGCAGCGCGTCAACTTATCCGTTCACCAGTCCACTCCCGCCTCCTCTTCCTTCATTCAATCCTCTCCTCACTGCCTTTCCGCCTTGCTCTTCCGCCTCCCCGGTCCACACTCGCTCTTCCTCCACACCTGGTCTCTCCTTTCCTCCGTGTTCGCTGCCTCCTCCCTCTTCTCGCTGCATGCATGACTCCATCTTTCCATTTGCTGACCTTTCCCCAAGCCATATGCTCCATTCCCCAAGCCATATGCTCCATTCCCCAAGCCATATGCTCCATTCCCCAAGCCCCATGCTCCATTCCCCAAGCCATATGCTCCATTCCCCAAGCCATATGCTCCATTCCCCAAGCCATATGCTCCATTCCCCAAGCCATATGCTCCATTCCCCAAGCCATATGCTCCATTCCCCAAGCCATATGCTCCATTCCCCAAGCCATATGCTCCATTCCCCAAGCCATATGCTCCATTCCCCAAGCCATATGCTCCATTCCCCAAGCCATATGCTCCATTCCCCAAGCCATATGCTCCATTCCCCAAGCCATATGCTCCATTCCCCAAGCCCCATGCTCCATTCCCCAAGCCATATGCTCCATTCCCCAAGCCATATGCTCCATTCCCCAAGCCATATGCTCCATTCCCCAAGCCATATGCTCCATTCCCCAAGCCATATGCTCCATTCCCCAAGCCATATGCTCCATTCCCCAAGCCATATGCTCCATTCCCCAAGCCATATGCTCCATTCCCCAAGCCATATGCTCCATTCCCCAAGCCATATGCTCCATTCCCCAAGCCATATGCTCCATTCCCCAAGCCATATGCTCCATTCCCCAAGCCATATGCTCCATTCCCCAAGCCATATGCTCCATTCCCCAAGCCATATGCTCCATTCCTCAAGCCATATGCTCCATTCCCCAAGCCATATGCTCCATTCCCCAAGCCATATGCTCCATTCCCCAAGCCATATGCTCCATTCCCCAAGCCATATGCTCCATTCCCCAAGCCATATGCTCCATTCCCCAAGCCATATGCTCCATTCCCCAAGCCATATGCTCCATTCCCCAAGCCATATGCTCCATTCCCCAAGCCATATGCTCCATTCCCCAAGCCATATGCTCCATTCCCCAAGCCATATGCTCCATTCCCCAAGCCATATGCTCCATTCCCCAAGCCATATGCTCCATTCCCCAAGCCATATGCTCCATTCCCCAAGCCATATGCTCCATTCCCCAAGCCATATGCTCCATTCCCCAAGCCATATGCTCCATTCCCCATGCCCCATGCTCCATTCCCCAAGCCATATGCTCCATTCCCCAAGCCATATGCTCCATTCCCCAAGCCATATGCTCCATTCCCCAAGCCATATGCTCCATTCCCCAAGCCATATGCTCCATTCCCCAAGCCATATGCTCCATTCCCCAAGCCATATGCTCCATTCCCCAAGCCATATGCTCCATTCCCCAAGCCATATGCTCCATTCCCCATGCCCCATGCTCCATTCCCCAAGCCATATGCTCCATTCCCCAAGCCATATGCTCCATTCCCCAAGCCATATGCTCCATTCCCCAAGCCATATGCTCCATTCCCCAAGCCATATGCTCCATTCCCCAAGCCATATGCTCCATTCCCCAAGCCATATGCTCCATTCCCCAAGCCATATGCTCCATTCCCCAAGCCATATGCTCCATTCCCCAAGCCATATGCTCCATTCCCCAAGCCATATGCTCCATTCCCCAAGCCATATGCTCCATTCCCCAAGCCATATGCTCCATTCCCCAAGCCATATGCTCCATTCCCCATGCCCCATGCTCCATTCCCCAAGCCATATGCTCCATTCCCCAAGCCATATGCTCCATTCCCCAAGCCATATGCTCCATTCCCCAAGCCATATGCTCCATTCCCCAAGCCATATGCTCCATTCCCCAAGCCATATGCTCCATTCCCCAAGCCATATGCTCCATTCCCCAAGCCATATGCTCCATTCCCCAAGCCATATGCTCCATTCCCCAAGCCATATGCTCCATTCCCCAAGCCATATGCTCCATTCCCCAAGCCATATGCTCCATTCCCCAAGCCATATGCTCCATTCCCCAAGCCATATGCTCCATTCCCCAAGCCATATGCTCCATTCCCCAAGCCATATGCTCCATTCCCCAAGCCATATGCTCCATTCCCCAAGCCATATGCTCCATTCCCCAAGCCATATGCTCCATTCCCCAAGCCATATGCTCCATTCCCCAAGCCATATGCTCCATTCCCCAAGCCATATGCTCCATTCCCCAAGCCATATGCTCCATTCCCCAAGCCATATGCTCCATTCCCCAAGCCATATGCTCCATTCCCCAAGCCATATGCTCCATTCCCCAAGCCATATGCTCCATTCCCCAAGCCATATGCTCCATTCCCCAAGCCATATGCTCCATTCCCCAAGCCATATGCTCCATTCCCCATGTCCCATGCTCCATTCCTCATTTACCATGCTCCGTGCTCCATGTCCCATCTCCCCAACATCAATGCCAGTCGTTATGACTGTGAGCAACCAATCCGCACCACTCTTTGCCGTGCCCCTTCCCTTATGCCGGGTGCCCCCATACCTTGGTGCAGGAATGTCTCTCAGTTTGATTTTGGCGGTCCCATTCCAGATGCCCTTTGGAACCTCACAGCTCTCACACTACTGTACGCCAGAGAATGGCATGATCTGGAATGGCATGATCTGGAATGGCATGATCTGGAATGGCATGCTCTGGAATGGCATGATCTGGAATGGCATGCTCTGGAATGGCATGCTCTGGAATGGCATGCTCTGGAATGGCATGCTCTGGAATGGCATGCTCTGGAATGGCATGCTCTGGAATGGCATGCTCTGGAATGGCATGCTATGGAATGGCATGCTCTGGAATGGCATGCACTGGAGGAATGAATGCCATGCACTGGAGGAATGCCATGCACTGTCATACACGGTGCCGTTGCCATGGATGTTCCTTGTTCTGTGCATGTGACGTGTCTGCCTGCCTTGCTCGTCTGTCCACGCTAACCTATCTCCTGCCACCGGCTCTCCCTGTCAATCCTCTATCCCAGGCAAAGCTACAAGTGGCACAGAGCTCCGTTCTTGCAGCTCTTGCAGTAACTACATATTTTAGGGCTTCACCGTCGTTGTTACTTCACCTTCCTGGCTGTTCCCCCACCTTTCTGCACCCACCCACCTTCTCTCCTTCCTCTCCCATCGCTTCCCCACCACCTAGCAACCTGTCTTACAACCAGCTCAATGGCTCCATTCCAGCCTCCCTGTCTCGCCTTTCCCGCTTACGGGAGCTGTGAGTGGCATGCAGAGACGTACTGTGGACGCCCTTAGGTATCTCCCTTAATCTTTGTCGATGTAGTCTGTAGAGAACCTAATTGCACTAGAGCGCATGTTTTGCACTCTTGCTCCTTTCACCATGGCAGCAAGCAGGCATGCCTTTGAGTCGCATGCCTTTGAGTCGCATGTCTTTGAGTCGCATGCCTTTGAGGGCGCCCATTTGCTCATCTTTATGGAAGAGGATAGGTCACAACACAGCCATGCGCAACCGTATTTGATTCATGGGGCTAAGAACGATTGTTTCCATTTGTATTTGCACTTTATTCTCCCACCCCCTGATTTCTTGCTTGCCTTATGATGCGGTGTGCTTGGATAGGATTCTTAGCCGCAATTTCTTCGTCGGATCGATTTCCTCGTCTATACTCTCACTCACCAATCTTGGCGTGTTGTGAGCATGCTTTTCTGTCCCCGATCAATTTTCTTGTGTGCCTTTGCGTATGTTACCATATTATTTGCAAGTTAGGCTGATGAATGGATAGGAAGGCTAACGAATGTAAGTAAAGTGTCACAAAATCAATTACGGGGTTGTGTTCCGTACTTGATTGGTCAAATTCCAGAATTTCATTGTTACAAACAGCCGAGCAGTGAGCACCCACAAGGATTTGGAGCATTTTGCGAGTCTGGCAAAAATAGAGATTGTCAGATGCGTGTACAATTAGGCACGAGCATAATGCCCGGCCGGTTCGGGCTGATCAGTGCTCTTGCCCGTCGGGCCGACCATTTTCTATCGCCGACCTGGCCAGGTCGGGTCGACCCGGCTACCCAGGTCGGGTCGACAAAAAATCGGGCCACTAGTCCGAAATCGGGTCGGGGGTTGGGACTTCCTAGTACTGTAAGGAGCTAAATTAGTAGATCGAGATGGTGGGGGGTATGAGGTACACATGGGCAATTGACGGGGAGAGTAATACTCGCCTGGTTTTGGGCCTACTCGTATTTTTAAACCAGGTGAGGCGAGTATTACTCGCCCGAGTAAAATCGCCAGTTGTCCTACTCGTTACTCGCCCAAACAGGCCAGTACCTTTTTGCTCGCTATGAGTAAAAAAGTACTCGTGGCGAGGCAAGTAATACTCGCCTCGCCTGGAATCATGGTAAGGTTTTAGAATGTTATTTTAGTGAAACCAACAGCCATTTTTTCCCAAATATCCCATTCCTGCAGCCTACATATTAACTGCCCATGACTTAAGAAGTTCTGAAACGTAGTTGGTTGCTAGATCTAAATAGTTGGCCTCTAGTTGGTCGACCATTGGTCGTGTACGATCTCAAACGCTGGCGGGTTGAACTGGAAATGCTCCGCCAGATCTACAAATGTTGATTTTCAACACCCACCCCCGAGTCGCGCGGGGGTCAGGACGATGCGATGCGAGTATCAAATTACTCGCTGAAAAACAAGAGTAAAAAACGAGTACTTTTCTACTCGCGAGTACTACTTGCTTCGCCTCGGACGAGTAAAACTTGCCATTTGCCCTACTCGTTACTCGCAAAGAACGAGTAAAAAAAAAGAGTCGAGTTTTTCACGATGAGGTATGGTGCTACTAGGGTTGGACTGAGCTCAATGTGGACATCTGCGAAGGAGACTGCGGGGGTTGGGTTCTGTAGATTCAGTGCGGCAGTGAGTGGTAGCCAATGCGAACTGGTTCTTTTAACACATTTTTTGGGGTAACCACGTAACAAAGAAACATACAAAATCGCGAGCGAAATCGTGTTCTGCGCGGATTGGCGGGCAAAAACACAGGCACTGTCAAAATCGGGTATAGTACACGACAGTCACGACCCGGTATTTCAAGGCCGGGCCGGGTCAGGCTTTTGGAAACTCCGACCCTGGGAGACCCGACCCGACCCGACCCGACCCGGTAGCCGCCTGGACCCCCAAATCGGGTTGGGTCGCGTCTGGTCGGGTCAAATGCTCATGCCTGTGTACAACTCCTGTGTGGACAAATGCTTGAGTCCAAATCCTTATACATACATAGTGTATGGTCTATATGGGCAGGGTGTATTTTCCTACTCGCTAAACCCACTCCTAAACTGCTGCTCGCTGTAGATGACAGCAAGACAAAATGCTGATACTTACATAGACATAGTGCATGCATGATCAGTATATCAAGCTATATTCATCTATATAGTGCACTAGAGAGTGGATCCCACTTGTTTGGACTTCATCATGGCGTTCACTCGTTTCATGGCATTGTGGACCCCCCTCCATGTGTCGCAATCGTGACGAGTTTGTGAAACTGAGGTCTGGGCTCGTGAAGGGTGTGCCTTAGGTCAAGGTTTGTGTGTGCATGCATGCATGGTATGGTAGGTAGGCTCCACTCTCATGGTCCCGAGATTCTTTAGAACCCAGGGCCAAGGCTGCAATAATGTTGACTAGTTGTCATGACTGCATAGTGGCCTCTTCATTTGCAACAATATCTCATAATTTTCCCCCCTACCCTTTTTGTATGAGCACGGCACACATGTCAGGGAGCTTTATAGCAATGTGTTGTCCGGCTCCATTCCAGAAGGCATTGCTGGCCTTCCTGCCTTGAATGCCATGTAAGCTGCCATGCCCATGATGTCTCACTCCTTCCGCGAGCAACAGCTTTTGACATTATATGGTGTACGCCAGATGCGCTATGGCGTGGCGGGGGTTGTTCACCTCCTCGTTCCACTCTCACCTCTTGAATTCACCACCTTGTGGATTGTTTTTGTCTAAATGTTTCACATCTGTGATTCTGTTGTCCTTGCATGTTCCATCAGCACCTTTATGTGGCCGAACACAATAGGCTGGTAAAAGGATATGAGAGCAAGAGTTGAATTGCACCTTTATTCAACATGGGCCTTTTTTGTCCGGGGCAACCACGTTCACTAGAGTGTCGTGTTTGCTGTGTGATAGGGCCATCCAAGTGGGTAGGTAGGGACTCGAGAGAATATAATGTGGCAAAGATGGCAGAGGCCAGGCAGAGTTCCAAACGTTTCACAAAAATGGATGGCTAGGGTGGCATGCTAATGTGACCCCGGAGGCGAGGTCCCTTTTGATGAGTGAGCTTCCTCTAAAGGGAACAAGGCACCGGACACACTCTATATGCATGGTGCTTCTCACATCTTCTTTTCCGCATGCCCCTTGCATGTGTCTAGCTCACTCATTAGTGCTCTCCCAGCGCTCTGCATGGTGTTTCCCCCTTTTTTGCCCTCCCAACCCCCTGCATGTGCCCGACACTAACACCAGAGATTTAAAGATCATCACAAAAATGTGTACATCTGTAAATCATCTGACCATTTGATTTGGGCACTTGTGATTGAAAATCGTTGGAAGATCTTCTTAGAATCTTCTTGTAATCGTTTTGGCGGCCCAGATGTTTTACAGACGTTTAGAAAGGGTTTTCACAATATATTGGTGATGGCATCTCTTACTCTGTTTTATTCCCTATCTCGCCATACATTTACCACGACAAGTAGAGTGCGACTATGAAAGGCGTCGCCAATCGGTTTTTTCTTAAAAAGCTGACAGTTATGTTTATGTTTGAATATTCGATTTTCATTCTTGAAATACGTTAATTAGTTCCTTATTGAGTTACGAAACCTCAATGTTTTATTATGATTCTCGTTTTTAAGTGAATCGATCTGAAATTAAGAATGTATCTGTAACTGTAATTTTGTAACAGCTGTAAGTATCGAAACAATTATGAGTCAAACCTTCGCCAGCAGCACCCCCACCAAACACCCTCGATATCCAGCAAATCTCGCTCCAACCCCCACCAATCGCGCTCCCCACCCCCCACTGATTGCGCTCCACCCCCCGTTCATCCAGCTGCCCTCGATCACTCCCTACCCTACCCAATCCATGCCTCAACCAACCCAGAAATAATTCCAACCAATCCATGTTGCCTTGCTCCATCCAGCTCAGAAGCCCAACCAATCCAGGCCGCCCATCTAACCCACCTAGACAACATCCAGCTCAGCTATGGTAGTGTCCCAACCCAACCATCCCCTGCGCAACTTTAGCACTCTCCCTTCACACCAGCTCAAAGGTGGAAGACACTTCCCGTAATTTTTATTATTCCTTGGTGGCTCTGACTTCGTTAGTTTGGTTCCTCGTACTTCCTTCGCTTAGTCTCTTGGTCACTTCCGCCATAGCTTCTAGCGATTTGCTGCCCTATCACCAGCGAACCGCATTTATTGCGTGTCACTTTTTTCATGAAGTCCATCCACTTACGAATAGTCAGGACATTTCTCACCTCGTACTGACTTCTGGATGCGCATATGCAGGTCCCCGCGTCAGTTTTCCCTCCACTTTTCACAGGTCGCGGGGTTATCTTATTGATCGCGTCACCATCTACTCATGCGTTAATCCGTTTTGATATTTAATCTAACAATCTCGTTTGTTCGTTATGTCGATGATTTCCTTTTATTAATTCACAACTCTTCAGAGATTGCAATCGTGGTAAGCACACGATTTAATCGCCGCTGGTTTCTTAAAAACTGCTTTTATTTGGTTTACCTCACCTGCTGAAATCGTTGCTAGCTGCAGGCGGTGCTGTTTGTTCAGGTTCAACCGCGTTTTTTTGCCAAGATCATGCCTAAATTATTGACGTGATGGAACATGTGTAGGCGACTAGGTCTCTGGTAGCTTTGCGTAACCATTTGTCTTGATGTAATGTCATA